AGCACTCCAGCTAGAGGCAAACCTGCTAGCCTGAAGGTCTTGGGCTAATCCTCCCAAAGTCAGATTTTTTAATGCCCTTGGCTCACAGGTTAATCCAGCCTAAAATGATAAGAGGTAAAATCCTGGGAAGTAAAGGCAGCCGGCATGATACTGACCACATCATCCATTGAGTGCCAACCGGTTTATAAAGATATAAGTCTAGTATCACACACCTGACATGCCATTGGCACGGAAATGGTCTTCTACTGTTAACACTTCTACTTAACACTCACATCAATACAGTAACACCTCAATAACAAGAATTCATTTCAAACAAACACACAGTTAACAAGAACACATTTTTGTCATAGCAGAGATCTGTTAGTATTACCATGTATGTATTAGTTCCTGATTAGTATACATTTGGTAACACAAACTTTTTTTTTCCATTCCGAATTCATTTTAATGAAGTTCAAATTTTTTTTTCTGTCTCACTGATACCAGGTTGTAGCCCAGTGTCGTGGTTTTCTGTATTTGTCTTGAGCTTCTCGGGTGGCTTGGGCCATGGATTTGTTCATCTTTTTGCTACACCATTTATCAATCTCTTTCTTGGTATTCCTGGTTTGATTGTAATACATTTTTTTCTTCTATGTACAAAAACAACTGACTCCCCTCCTCATCTCAAAGTTACACTGTATATAAGATATTCACATAAATCAAGACATAGCAACATTTTAAGTTCTTACTGTCCATCTCTACAAACAATTTATCATGACTATTTAAGAAGATGAATAACACTAATAAGTATAATGAACCTAAGAAATACAATGAAGAGTAGGAGCAAACAAAACAACCTTCCTTATCATCCAAGCATAATTTTATGACAGCTTCTGGCCTAGAGTTTCTACTGGTAGGCTTTCACTGCATCTATAAATGGGCTGCCTGTCTTACCATCTTTCCGTTTTAGAAAAACTCTTTGTGCTTCAAGTAGCTCAGAAAAACCCACAATCAGAGACCAAACTCGTGACTGCTGTGCCCAACACAAAATTCATTGGCTTGCAACACATCTTGCAACACACACACTCATGCACGCACGCACAAACACACTCAAATATGCACACACTCAAATATACACACATAAAATGGAGAGCAATTGATTTACAGTGTCAATATAGTATCATCATCATCAGGTGCCTTGCCGACTGGCGTGGGGGATCATGCCTCTCCACAATTTGTGATCTCCTGCAGCATGTATCACCTCGTGTGCCGACACACCTCCATGCCATGCAGCAGGACTGACAAGAATCTTCTCTCGTTGTCTTCCTTTATCCCTCCTTCCACAGATCTTTCCAGTGGTCACAACATGTTCTATTTTTCCTCTTCTCGTAACATGGCCGAAAAATGATGACTGTCTTCTTCTGATGTCTGTGATAAGTTGTCTTCGGGCTCCCGCCTCTTTCAAAACCTCTTGGTTGCTATTATTTTTCTGTCCAAGGTATTCTAAGCATTCTTCTGTAAAACCACATCTGTGAGGCCTCAAGAAATTGTTTGGCCTGCCTACCGATTGTCCAGGACTCACAGCCATATGTTAAAAGTGGTTGTAAGTAGCAAGCAAGAATTCTTTTTTTTATTCTCAATGACAAAGATATATTGCACAAGATATTGTTCATTTTATAAAATGTAGTTTTTGCCTGTTCTATTTTGTTTTTTATCTTAGTTATGCATCTTTCATCTGATGTTATCTAGTGCCCAGATACTTAAATTTCTGTACTTGTTCAAAAATAACACCATTGACTTTTATCACACATTTAGTATACTTTGGAAAAAACAATAATAAAAATTATTTTTTTAAGTTAAACAAAAGGCTGTATTTATACTAAGGTTTCCGGGACACAGTAACTAAAATATGGTTGACTTTGAAGCAGCAATTACATTAAAACTAGCAGGAAAGTTTTGTAGTTTAGTGTAAATGTAGAAAAAGATCACTGAAAATACAAAGTCACATAAGTTGGACTGAGGTAACATAATTTCAGCAAAGATAACTAAGAAAACATCTATCCCAATTTTATGTCATATCATATGCCATATTAAATTAAGAGGAGATACATATTGTTTTTTGTGTGTGCCTCTGGCGCATGGTAAGTGAATGTGTTTCACAACGTCACAATTCCAGATTTACTAGGGCTTAAATTCCATGGCACACATATTTTATTTAATAATTAACAGTTTTGGTGGCTGTCAGGCAGTGGTATGAGAGTTATACTGTGGGAGAGACTGGGGTTCAACAAGCAATATTCCAATAGACAGTAGTGGGTACTCTGCAGCCCAACCTTCAGTGTGAAGACAGCGGTTTTATTGAACACGTTTTCATCAATTGCAGTTCACTACACAACACTGCCATTCCATCGAGAATCTTATCTCCTCGCTGTCCACTGTCTCTTACCATCCTCACTTTGACTGACTATCAAACTGCCAAAATTTGCTCTTGTATTGTGAGGTCTTTGAGCCTGCAGATTTAGGGCCGCATGGCACATGCTGTCACCATGGACTGTGCAGTTTAAGATTTCATTTTTTGCCCGGGACAAAAAAAATTGTTTAAAATAAACAACCACACAGAGAAACCGAATCTGAGTCTCCCGCATGAGAGCTCTGCATTCTCAACTGTTTGCCCAGTGGCTCCATATGCTGACTGATTGTTACCCTTGTCTGTTTAACTCATCTTATTTGAAAATGACAACTGCATTTTCTGTATGTGGGCTACATTTGCCTATGTCAATATGCCTTGCTACATTTGCCTATGTCAATATGCCTTGCTACATTTGCCTATGTCAATATGCCTTACTACATTTGCCTATGTCAATATGCCTTGCTACATTTGCCTATGTCAATATGCCTTGCTACATTTGCCTATGTCAATATGCCTTGCTACATTTGCCTATTTCAATATGCCTTGCTACATTTGCCTATGTCAATATGCCTTGCTACATTTGCCTATGTCAATATGCCTTGCTACATTAGCCTATGTCAATATGCCTTGCTACATTTGCCTATGTCAATATGCCTTGCTACATTTGCCTATGTCAAAATGCCTTGCTACACTTGCCTATGTCAATATGCCTTGCTACATTTGCCTATGTCAATATGCCTTGCTACATTTGCCTATGTCAATACGCATTCTGCAGTTAGTCAACCATTAGTCCTTCTAGGTGTCCACAAGAAGCTCATCCTTTCTATGCAATAACTATAGCACAGTGACGCCTGGTTCCTTTCTAATCTTCACGATCACTACATGCATCCAGTATTCAGGACAGAAAATATTGCACTGCAGCTCTTGTCTGCATTTGACACATCTCTTTCTTTCTCTTTCCACCCCCCCCCCCCCCCCAATCTCTCTCTTTTTCTCTCTCTCAGACTCAGACAAACACACAAAGAATTATCTGCAACTGAAATGTCCTGTTTCATCGAGGCATATGTCGTGTTGTTGATAGATATATAACTGAGATACTACACCATCACATTTTGTGATGACTTACAGAAACATGGTACATGATGTTCAGGTGTGTACACATTACTGCCTAACTGTGCTTATCTTTATATTCTATAACACCCAGCAATTCTCATTTTGGTGTCTTTTCTGTACAAACATAGTCTTCACTTTTTTTTTTTGCCATGATTACATAAAGTCTTCATATGTTCTTCGTTCTGTCCTTAAACACACTAGCTTTCCTTGCTACATTAAAAATCTAAATTTCTGAGGAAACAGGAAACATCAGTGAAACATAACCATTATTATTAAGGATACTTTTCTAGTTTCCTGCAAAATTAATCCAAAGATTTCCTTCTGGATACACCAATAAAATATAGACTAATCAGTTAATCTCTTAATACATTAAATATTATTAGGGGTAAATTATTCACTGAGAACAGATCAGTAATTAGATGTTGTTCCTTATTATGTTTTCCTGTCACATTATTGTTAAAAAAATGCAATAAATAACTGTTAATTTAGATGTTTAAATTGTGATTATGGTGCATTGTTGGCATCACTGCACTTAGGACATGCCTTTAATCCTCAGTCTCACCAGGAGAAATAAGCTATCTTCATCAGTGTTCACTGTGACCTGACTTACATACAATTCTCTAAGTGGCAGCCATTCATGCAACAGTCATCCGTCTGAACCATGGACTGAGAGTCAGTAACAATGGAGAGCCATATCAGTAGAGAGGTGATAGCTGCAGTCTCCATTCTCATACTGAAGACTTAAATATGATACACTTTATTTCACTTTGCTGTCCGAATGTTTGACCATGCAGTACAGAGCCTTCAGTGTATATGACTGCGCAGTTGTGATCGGTCATAATACAAACTGAGACAGACCTGTTACTAAGTAGAGGACCCTTTTCACCCCCAGTGGCAAATCAGATTTATGAAGTAAGACTTGGTTATTGACGAGGGTTGCACCGGTCACCTTGACATCCTTTTAGCTCAGTGGCTCTCAACTTTGCTTACACCTCGACCCCGACAAAACTATTTTTCTTCATAACTTCAAAAAAAAGTGTTTTCCGATGGTCTCAGGCGACCCCTGTGAAATGGTCGTTCGACCCCCCCCCCCTCCCCCAAAGGCTGTGACCAGCAGGCTTAGAACTGCTGCTTTAACTAGTACTTATTTTAGGCTGGGTTAACCTGGTAGCCAAGGTAATCTTTGTTGAAAGAATCTTAGACCTTCAGACTAGTGGCAAAGGATCTAGTCATCAGGCTTTTGTGGCCCAGATCTGACTGGCACAACAAAAACAGTGCTTAAATGTTCAATGCTCTCAATGTTATTAGGACATGTTGCTTTCTGCCGTTGGAGCATACATGTAACCAGCTGTTCTACAAACATATCCATATGCTTCATAAACTATCAGATATCTGACCCTTGTCAAACAAGTGACAATTACAACAAAATATAATAATACAGATAAATATTATAAAAAACTGACATATTTTAACTTGAGTAAAAAAAAACCTGACTACTTACCACCACCAGCCACATTGGCAGGGACACCCACAGCGGTGGTTGCTGCTGCTGCCGCCGCCGCTGCCGCTGAGGAATTTTTCTGTTTAAGCATTGTCCAGTCAAAAACATAATCATACTGATGATTGAGAGTGCGAAAGAGGATTCTGAAGAGCTGTCTCAGGTACATGTAGTCAGGGGCTTCCTCAAACCTAAGACCCCTGCAGTAGTTGAGGTACATGGAAAACTCTGCAGGAAAACCCTTGGGACGAAAGTATTCAAACATGCAGAATTAATGTTTACAACTAGCAGGTCAACATAAGGGATTATAATTAGACAGAATCCAGCTAAAGTCAGGTACAGTTATAGTTGACAGTTTAAGTTCAGAGGATCAACTTTATTGCCCTGGGTTTTATCCCATATGGCTCAGTCTCTTTCCAAGGAGTGGTTAGCTGACTGTCAAAAGCATCAGACAAAACACAAGCCTCGTAGCTTCCCCAGTGATCTGCATAAAAACTGCACTCTTAAATGAATCTATGACCTGCAGAGCATGAGGAAACGGATGTGTCACTTCACTATCGAGATCCCCTTTAAGAGAGTAGTAGAGACACAGACAGACAGAGAGAGAGAGAGAGAGAGAGAGAGAGAGAGAGAGAGAGAGAGAGAGAGAAAGAGAGAGAGAGAGAGAGAGAGAGGATGGAGAGGGTGAAAGGGGGGAAAAAATAGAGTGAAGAAAAGACAGGGGAGATAAACACACAATTTCATAGCTTTCATAAAATAAGTGATTTAGCTTTTAGCTTTCGTGTCATGACTTTTAAGTGCAATTACCAAATCTGCAAACTGCAATACTGACTTGCTAAATGTACACGTGCCCACAAAGGTATTCATGTCTGTGATAGCGAAAGGAAGGGAGAGTTGTGAATAAATGTATACATATATTCATCTATGTATACACACACACACAGTTGTGAGTAGACAAATGAAGACAACAGACTTTCAGTAAGATAGAAAGAGAAGCACACAGCAAACTTACTTTACATAAAGTCTCCACTGGGGTGGACATTTTCTTCTCACTGATTCGTTCATACTTTTGCTTTTTAGTTGCTGCCTACAGTTTCAGAAGTTAAAGCACAACCATCAGATAACTAAACTGGTAAATAATCATTATACTTCAAACATGCACTTGTTTAAAACAAAACAGCACCTTCCAAAAAAATTACTTAACTCAAATACACATAATTTTACAATTTTAACACTAAAATTAAATTGACATCAGCGTGTAAATGATTTTTAAAAAAAATACTTATCACCATCATTATGTGACATGATAACAAGTAAAAGCAATTACGGTAGCCATCTCACAAGAATCATAGATCAGGTCAATGTTCTTATCCTGTCAAAGCCATGTGACCACCCACAAAGTAATTATCTCTTTGTTATTCTCTTGCTCCTTCCCAATCAAGTTGGCCAGTTCCCACCAAGGTTTTTCTTTCTCACAGTATGTCCAAAACATCTTGACGGTCTACATTTAATTTTTTGTCAAATCAGTGTATGATTTTTTTCCCATATGTGGGCTTAAGGACCCTAATCTGAAAGGAGAGGGAAAAGGGAAGTGGGAGGGTGGACTCACTGCCCCTTAACCTTTCGCAAAGAGAACAAATAAACCACCCCCTCCAGCTGGGTCCAATTCCCTGTAAATGTCACTTTTCTGACTTGCCCATATGCTACTGGCTGAGTTCGCGCCTGTGCAAATATTTAGGAGGTCCAGAGATGAAAACATTAACTAACAATAGCATTTAGGTGGGTTTTCCTTTGAGCTAAATGGCCTTTTTTTTTTTTTTTTTTTTAAAGCCAAGTTGATGTCACATTTTCTTGTAAGCCTCAGTGATAGAGGTCACAGCTCAAGTCACCCAATACATGTAATTTGTTTATTTGCCCCAGGGGTTTTATTGCACTGAACGCTTCACCGAGTGATTAGTGATAGAAAGGATTATCATTACTGCACTCAGGACAGATCCGTAGGTGCCATAACCTCCACAAGTGTAAAACGACTGATGACACCTGTTCTGTGCTGGTTAATGAACGTCTTGTCCTCTAAGTGAAATGTTCATTTCTTGCAGCTCCAGGCTGCTCCCCCATGCCCATCAGTCTAGACAGGAATAAGGAGTCATATCTTTTGGCGTGCTCCTCGGCATGGTAAGTGCAGCACATGGCATTGATAACATCACTTCTATCCAGTACTGGGCCAGCCATAGCAACCGCAGTGTCAGCAAGATAGTCTGCATGCTTGTTTCCTTGATCACGTGCATAACCTGGCACAAAGATGAAGGTTAGTGCAGATATTCATGAAGTGCTTAGTGTTGCAATCCATTCTTGCCTGATAAATCCAGCTTGGATTTTTTTAAGCATATTCATCGAGTCACTAAGAATGCATACGTGTTTCCATTGTAAGGCTACTAGTTATAACAGCAAAGGTGCCATTCATCTCCTTAATAGTTCCCCTCCCTTGAGCTTACTGTGAATGCCCATACACTTCGCTTAACCCTAATTACTGACCCATCTGTGTAAACTATAGCATCACCTTCATCTGTGTTTTCGTCAATCAGTGTTCAGACTAAAGTGTCAACAATGCCAGGAATCACTCTCTACAGCTTCCATCAAGTGTGATATGTACTGTAATATTTATTTTTGAAGAGAGGGAGGCATAATTATCCATTCAATTTCAAAATTAATGTCAGTAAGGTGGCAAACATGATTGATGGCACACTCAGCTTGACCCATCCAGGATTTGCCTCATTTGAGTCTACTCTTTTTTTGCTTGAATAATTCCTCATAAAGTGGGTGTCTATGGTCTGACTTCACTTTGAGGAAAGCAACAGCCCTGGATAGCTTAATTCTGTTTTCCATTGTAGGGAAATCCAAGAGTTATCGCATGGATTTACAGGAGTTGTCTCTAGTGCATCTAAGAATAATATGCATTGCCTCATTTTCAATTTTTTCCAGTCTGTACATCTGTGTGGTGCTGAATGTCATGATGACCAAGGCTTATTCAATGGTAGAGAGAACTAACGCATGATACAACATTACAAGTAGCCGTTGCTCAAAGTTTTCGGCTCCTATAACTTGTATTGCGGAGAGACCTTTCTTGGCTTTGGTTTTAATGTGGTCTACAAGTTTTTAAATGCTAGCATCTGTCAAATGTTATACTCAAGAATTTTCTGGAATCAGATCTCTTCACGTCAGCGCCACAGAGTTTTACTATCGGCATTGGTGTTTAGGAAAGGTGATTATTTAATGAGAACCAGGTGACTGTCGCTTTTCATGGATTAACTGTTGCAGGTGTTGCACCAGGATGATATGCGATCTAATTCCTGCTGTAGATTCGAAACAATGTTACCTCTGTTCCTGCCCTGTCGGTACACGAGGATGTCATCCGCATATGACAGAGTTCTTCCTCTGCCACTCAGCTGTTCTCCTGACTGTGTAAATGCTTCACCAAGTTAGTGTTTACTGATTACTCCTTGCATAAATCTTAATATATTTCAGCAACAACAATAAAAATGTCTAAGAGAATTAAATAATGCGGACACAACATACATTGCACAATTTATTTCCTGGAATATTTAGATGTTTCTCGTCAGGTGCAGATACAGTGAAATATGCCAGGCAATAAATTGTGCAATGTATGTTGTGTCTGCATTATATAAATTTTCAATAGGAAACACTGTTTTGAAAATCTCTACATTTTTAAGGCACATCTAGAGAAGAAGAAAACTGACCTATTTTATGACAAGTTCAAGGGAAAGAGAAGAAAAGGGAAAGAGAAGAAAAGGGAAAGAGAAGAAAAGGGAAAGAGAAGAAAAAGGAAAGAGAAGAAAAAAGAAAGACAGAAAGAGAGACAATGTTTGGCATCATGTCATGGAAGAATATGAGATGAGTGGCAGTGTATGAGACAGAAGGTTATAGACAAACATGATTACCTACACCACACACACACACACAAGGACTATTTAAATAACACACAAAAAATAGTAAGAATGATAAGGAACACATGAAGCAGAAACATGGATAACCTTTAAACCCTGCCATGGCAGTGACCCTCGGTTAAAGTACATGAGAACATAGCCCAAGGACTCCATGTCATCTCGACGGCTTTGCTCGATGCCCAGATGTGCATTGATGCTGGCATATCTTGCTGTGCCTGTCAAGTTTTTGTCCTCTCTGTAAGGTATGTGTGCCCGGGTTCTGCTGTCCCGGTATTTTTTGGCCAAGCCAAAGTCAATTATAAAAACCTGAAAACAAAATATAGGTTTGCTTGTGTTTACAAAATCAACAAGACTCAAATTTCATACAGTATACAATGACAAGAATAAAGCATGAGAAATGTCATCACAGTCTCAGTTCAATGATGGGGCAATCTCAGATGGATCTCCAAGGAGCAGAGTGTGGCAAACACAATTTACAAGATTGAGTATCAAGACAAGAAAGTCAACTTCACTGCACCTGGTTTTATTACTCACAATGCAGTCTCTCCCTGCAAAGTCGCTGGTGGCCTGCAGACAGACGTGTACAAAACATAAACTTCATAGCTCCAGCCACCACCATCAGAGATCTCCTAAATGTCTGCATGCCTAAAGTAAGCAGCATAGTCTGAAACTGAGCAAATGATCGCCAGACGGCTATGCAAATGTCAATACTGAGTATTATCATGAAATCAGTATATAAGTAAACTTGTGCAAGGCAAGTCACTAACTTGTATTGTCAACCTAAACTGTTAAAGGCAAATGTCACAAACCACACACGTGGATGTCAAAATATAGGGAAAACACACCACACAATCTTTCAAAGAATAAGTTAAGTAACATCTCACAATAAAGAATGGAGGAGCATCAGGTTTACAAACTTTACATAGGTTTCCAGAATTAATCATTGACAAGGTGATATAAATTAAAGAATCATCTCAAGCTCTATACCTACTCCACTACATCAGCAGCTGGGGGGCTGCAGAGTCTCGAGAAATGGCGTCCGCCACAAGTGTTGGAGGCCCTGGATTCAAGCCCCGGTGAAGGCTGAGATTTTTTAATGTGGACTTCTATAATTTCCCAGTGTCTCTGGGTAGTAAGATCAGACACCCATGTGTACTGTTACGTACACAAAAAATCCCTTAGCAGTTGGAAATCAAAAAGAGTAGCCTAACGGTCCTTTGTGCCCTTTCTTCAGAGGAGCAATGTGTCACATTCAGATTAAAGACAAGGTATAAAATACTGCCAAATTCAGTGTAAGAAACAGAGAGACGTGTCCCGAAACTTGGTACCTGAAAATACTAAGTATGTGCTCTAACAATGTAAACTATATAGAGCTATTGAGAGAAGCAATATAGCCTGTTCCAACCCCAATCAAGACAAAGCTGTATGGTACACAGGATGATCTGGACTGCATGATAGCTTATATCAAGGTTACTGATCTCATGACATAAGTTTTCTGATAGCAGGATCGCAGAAGATGAAGAAAAGTTGAAGATGTTTTCAGGAAAATTAATTTAGAGGATCTAAATGAAGTCATGACCCACACATACCCACCCTAGCAATAATATCTCATTTCTAGGTAATGGACTGGACTGAATGTCCATCCTTCTCAGGCAAATAAAAGGCTAGAAGACTGAGATATAGACTCATCAGGATCCTTGTTACTACGCTCTATTTCCCTTATTAGATCTAAAGACTGAGATCAGAGCACTAATGTAGCGACTACAGTTTCGGAAATTTGCGATCTTTTCGACAATTTCCGTTACCATAGAAACCATTTGAAACTTGTTTCGGAAATGTCGGCTGGGGTTTTGGGATGGGTCCTAATCTCTCATGAAATTTTGCGATTGGTGTGGTTTTCACCCACTCTAAATAGCTGAAAACGGCGGGAAGGAACTCGATTAACAGCGCATGTCTATGACAGCCGGACGTCCTCTATTTTTCTGTTAGTCTATCAGTTTAATTGAAAATAGCGGTAAATTCGAGGTTGGCTTTAGGCCTTAAACATTACCAGATGTGGTAATGCTAGTTATAATTGAATTCTCCGTCCAATTTTACATTTGTATATAAAATTTCTTTCCCATTTTTGGCTGTTTACATTTACAGTGACATTTTTTAGGCAATCGCATGCGGCTGAGTCTCATTGCCTGCCATCTTGTCCAATGACAGTCCAATGTCAACAAAGCCGATACAGAACTGCGCAGTAGGTTGCGCAGAGAAAAACTTCTTGTTTCTGGGTCACAAGTTTTAGCGGCTGTTTCTTACAATTCATCTCCACAAAAACCTACATATCTCAGCTCAGAAATGACATACAAGCCTAAATGAGGTACCATTGGAAAGAGATTGTTTACAGATTTCTAACTGTGCTGGTTTTATTGGTGTAGAGGGCATTTAAAAAATTTTTACTAAAGTAGCTAACAAATGTATTCTTGAAATGGAGATATGTGAATGCAACCAGTCAATGAAACCAATGTCATACAACTGAGCAGACATTGAACAATTACGATGACTTATTCCACACTAAATAAATCATAAAATAATGACTGATAAGTTCAACACAACATGGGGTTCATCACTGGAGCTATGGAGTTTGGGCTTTGCATGATTCTCTCAGTAGGTAACCAGATCCTCAGCATAGAAAGGCCATGCCATATGGGACAAAATCTGGTACAATTAAGTCGATCCCAAGAGGACACAAAAATTCACGGTGAAGGGAACCAGAAATTGATGATAAAAAGAACATTAAGATTTAGGGTGAGCTGCATGCAAAAGTGAAGGGTAGGGTGATCTGGCCTAGGTTGATTGAGGGCCTGTGCTCCGTGGGGAGACAAAATGACACAAGAAAAGGAATGAAGTCAATCCTCTCAGGCAATACCAATGTTTTGGTCACATTACTGATCAATATATATAAAGTGCAGTACAATAAGTTTAATGAATGTTTTTAATACAGGTGGTTCAAGAATTTAATAATACAGCTAACCTTGTTGCAATGTCTGCCAATGCCCATAAGGAAGTTATCTGGCTTGATATCTCGATGGATGAAGTTTTTATTGTGTGTGTATTCAATCCTATTTATCATCTGGGGACAGAGAAAAAAAAAACATTCATTTAGAGAAAAAAAACCATCAATACAAATTAAAAAACCCAAAAAGGTCAAGGAAACTTTCCCACACCTTGAAGTGTATTGGGCATGTAGTACTAGCAGCATAATTTTATAGACTAACTGGCACTTGACTGTTGATGTGATATAATTATATATATATATATATATATATATATATATATATATATATATATATATATATATATATATATATATATATATATATATATATATATATATATATATATATATATATATATATATGTACATAAATAATTTCTAGTACATATTTTTAGGCTTGGTTGCCCTGAGAACCTATATAAATTTAATAATTATACCTCAACAGGGATTCAAACACAAAATCACAGTGGCAGCAGGTAAGCATACTAAAACTGTGGAACTGCAGCTCCAGCAACAGCACAGATCTTAATTTTCCTCTTATTCTTTTTTTTTAAAAACTAATTTACTTATTTAAGAACTGCTGTTAGAAGATACCAGGCATACCCAAAGATGCTTCAGCTCTAGTAGAAAACATGTTCTTCTCATACAACTGTAAACAGAGAAGAGCTTGACAAAAAAACTCAAACTTCTGTGACTTCTACTGTAAACTAAAGACACTGGGTGTCCCTTTTGATAAACATTTGAAACAGATAGCGAATCCATGCAACAGGGGGTGGCGTGTACAGGGTCAGAAAGATATTCAACACTGAGGGGGAAACAGAGGCAGACTTTTAATCAGGTTGAAACTGGTACTATTTAGCATGAGGACTCTTCGTTGACTACAGAAGAAGGGGATTGAGCTCATGTGGGAATGTCTGAATGCAGTGATGTCAATTCTTGATTTATTCATTCAATTTACTCATTTGAAACAATCACAGAGAGTGAAATGGTCAAAGTTAATATGTCCACAGCATCTTTATAACATGTCCTGGTCATACATCAAGGCCAGACAGTTTATTGAAAAATCTTCCCATATTTAGAAAAAAAAATGCCTTGGGCATTGTAAAGAATTAATTGGATGCTATGTTGTGGCATCAGAAAGCCTTGGTACTACAGGTGATATTTTGTTCAAAGATAGTGACTGTTCACAGACAGGTAAAATCTGTGAAACCAAAACTGTAGTGACAATGTGATTCTCTACAGACTCTCTCTCTCTCTCTCTCTCCCTCCCTCTCTCTCTCTCGCATGTGCGTGAGTGTGTGTGCGTGCGTACATGTTTTTTTTTTTTAAATGACTGTACTTAGTTGTCATCCTAATGCTACCTTTGTCAACTGATGTGAGAAGCAGATGATGTGAGAAGCAGATGATGTGAGAAGCAGATGATGTGAGAAGCAGATGATGTGAGAAGCAAATGATGTGAGAAGCAAATGATGTGAGAAGCAAGATCTTAAGAACTATATAGAGCCAATCCTAATGCATGAAAGTGAATCATGGACAGCCAGCCAATTAGTGAAAAAATTATGTGATAGCTGTGGAGATGGTTTCTTATAGAAGAATGATAACACAATGGACAGGTACAAACCGTAATGTAGGCATGTTGAAAGAAATACTCACAAAGAGAAGTGATTACACGAAATAGAAGAGATAAGTCATAAGAAGGGAGAGACTAAACTGAAGTAAAACAACAGGAAAGTTGGAGGGAAAGAGAAGCAGACAAAGACCAAAACAGATGTTAGACTGTCATCTTAGCATGAAAAAACATCTATAAAAACAATAACTGACAGTACATGAGACAGATGGCTGTCGACAGACATAATTACCACCAGCAACAAAAGGCACAGACTACAAGAGGAAGACTTAAGGAGAAGTTCAAATGAACAGCAGAAAATATGTGATATCAACCTGTTTGCAACAGTACTTGCTAGATTCAAGGTCTCTCTAGCATGGTAGTAATGTGGGAAATATTTGTTATAAACTCATCTCTCAACATTCCTCCTGTGGGTTCCAGGGCCCAATTTTGTGGGGACAATAGAATGGACCCAGTGCCTCCTCAACACACATTTCATTAGTGGTGACTAATTAGGGTTTTGTTGCAACTGTTTGTGTTGTGCAGAAGGCACAGTTATGACAGAGTAGTTGTAAATCCCAACAAAACATGTCAACTACCCCTTTAAGAGAGAATGCAGAAGAAGAATCTCTCCAAATTTAAAATGACGGAAACAAATAGTTAACTACCTAGTCAACTGATTATCCTCATCGCACAGCGAAACATTCAGTACATAAGTCCTTGGATCCCCTCGATAGTAAATCCTGCAGCATGTAGCAGTCCTGTGTTGGTTTTTTATTCTTCTTTGACTACCTGTATAGTACTTTTGTCTGGCCACACCCCTTTTAAACATGCTGTTCTTGCTGTCTGGTCATGGATGCTGATTCACAATCAATGGTTTTCACAAACATCTTATTTCTCATAAAGCTTCTCAGAATATCAGTCTGGTCAATGGCTCATTAGCCCTCTACAGTAATTTTATCTGCAAGCCCATCAGTTTGCTCATCTCTGAGCAAACCTGTGTGCCCTGGCAAGAATATTAAACTGACATGTGTCAGCCCTAACCGCCTCAGGGACTCCAACCCGTCTTTAGCCCCAGCTCATCTCTATCTTCCTGAGAATAACCATTAAATTGCTGGGGCGAAAAATGCATGGGTAAAGGTCTGTGTCTCGCAGCACTGTTATTGCTTTGGTCACTGCAATGACCTCCATAGTTAGACTACTTGTAGTCAAGCACCAGAATTTGGCTTCACATTTCTAACTCAAACCTGGGCCGTAAAAGCCCACAAGCTTCTCACTTTGTGAACTACAGACCCATCTGTGTCATGACAGCGTCCTACTCTAGAGAATTCTCACAAATCATGGTCCGCACATTTGGCTTCACAGCGACCAGACTCTGTTATCTGTAATTTATGTTTAGTCCGATGAAAACAGAAAAAGTTGTACAGCAGTTTGCTGGCACTTATACACATTCCTCACCAGGTTATCAAGTGAATACACCTGCTGAATAATGTCCTCGGCCTGATTTTTCCTCGATTTCCTCTCTAACCTGCTGCCATTTCTCTTCTTAACTGCATTATGCAGCGGATATCATGTGTCCTTGTTGACACTAAGGTAGGCTCGTTCTCTGCAAATTTGTATTCTGTCCTCCATAGTTGGAAAATCAAGAAGGTAGTGCATCACCCTGCATGCTTTATCTATTGTACATTCAAGTATAATGTGCATAGCCTTGCTTTGTATACTTTCCATTCTCTCCATCTGTTTATGGCTGAGAGTCAGCATCGCCACTGCACATTTAAGAACAAAAAGAACTAGACACTGGTACAGAAGACAAATGACACTGCTCAGTTTGCCAATGCCATCATTCTAATCACAGCCAAGCTCATTTATTATCACCTGGTTTATGAGCTCAGAATAAGCCAGGCTTTGATCAACTCGTGTCCTCAAGTATCATTACCTGCATTCTTTCCCAATTTTCTGAGCACAGACTGAAACAAATACATACTCAACTGATATTTTTTTTTTTAAAAGGTAGCAGGCAATTAGAGGAGACAGTTATAATAGACTACCTGATCAGCTAGCATCAAGACTGTTTTCAAGGTAAACTTGCGGCTGCAAAAATTGAAGAGGTCTTCGAGACTTGGTCCTAGCAGGTCCATGACCAGAACATTGAAGTCTTTCTCTTGACCAAACCATCTGCAAATATGGACTGGAAATTAGTCTCTGCTGGTAATAGAGGGTCATGCAATGTTAATTTAGCATTGGTTCTGGATGCAAGAGTCATATCTGTAGCTTTCACAGATGTTCCTCTACAACCTGTGATTACAGCTAGTTACCTCATACAGAACAATATATGCACACATTAGGCAGACACAAATGTCTTTTTAACTGCTTCTTGTTTTAAAACCAAGTCTTCATTTTAGCTGTTGCCTCCCCCGCATGCGTGCGTGTGTGTGCGGGCGTGTGGTGTGTGCAAATGCACGCATGCACATGTGTGTGTATGTGAGAGAGAGAGAAAGAGACAATGGAAGACAGAGAGTGTGAGGCAGAAAGTGGGAGATACTGAGAAAAAGCCAGTAACAGACAGAGACAGAAAGAGAATGACTAGACTTTGAACAAACATAATATATTAGTTACTGTAAAGTTCATTTAGTGCATTTTTAAAACATCTTCCATACAATGCTAACTACAGATATTATAATAACTGGTACTTATTGGGTGATGTTAACCCTTTCGCTGCTATGGACGAGATAACTCGTCTGCCCGGCAGACTGCTAAAGATGAGATAACTCGGCTGCCATTTTCTGTGCCCTCACTGCTAAGGACGAGATATCTCGTCCTCGACATTTTTTTTACAGATTGCTAAGAACAGTAATTCTTAGGGGTGAAATAGATAGCAATACACATTACCTTAATCTGATCAAACTGACCCGTTTACATACAATTAAAACCCTTATCAAGTGAGTTTAAGCGTATTTAGATGCATTTCACGTTATCCTGTTGCTTTGTTACCATAGAAGCATTGTCGGTGAACGGTAATTTTTTTGCCCTGAAATATAATTCTGGTTTTGCGTTAGTCTAATTTTTTTTTTTTAATACAAAATAACAAGAATATTTGTTTATATAAAGAAGAATTAATGGAGTTTCTTTCAAGGAGTAGTAGTAAGGATCACTTTGAAACGTGTGAGTTATATGAGCTGGGTTATCTTCGCGGCACGCCGGCGGACACATGTACTTCTGGCTGTGAACAAGACTGACCAGTGACCATATGACCTAGCTATCTACATTGACTGGATTTGAAAACGGATCCAAAATAATCAAAATAAAGATATGGTCACGTACTGACGTGATGATTAATATTAATTATATACTATACAACTGACATAAATGTGTTTGTCTATTAAAGTGTACAATACTGGTCTTTTTTTCAATTCATAGTGTCGTGTGAATTTCTAGTGTAGTTGGTATCACGTCTGCCTTACAATCGAAAGGTCCAGCGTTCAACCCCTACGTGCTGTTTTTTTTTTTTAAATTAATTATTTTAAATTTAAGCTATTAGCATTTTTGGCAACAGATCACCGAAGTAATAATTAATTAAACATCCTGTCACGAGCGTTCAGGTGGATTTAGATGCTTTACACGTTACCCTGTTCCTTTGTGAAGCGTGGTTGGTGTACTGTGCACATTCATTATATAAAGTTGTTGTGGGGAAAAACACGCCTGTTACCAAATTTCACTTAATGTTAGTAAGAGAAATTCTACAGAGATATTGCAAGGAAAAGAGAAAAAGTGTATGAGGACAAAAAAGTGAAGATCTGCCACTTCGTTTAGTACAAAAGCATTTCCCTTCAATAATAGAGTCTGAAACATCACAGCAGAAATTCCCAAAAAGAAAGTGTGTGGTATGCGCAAAAAGCAAAAAACGATGGGAAACCAGATACATGTGCAAGGAATGTGATTTGGCATTGTGTGTCGCACCTTGTTTTGAAATATTTCACACACAAAGATATTATTAATAATAATAAAAACCATGTATTTGCTTACTAAAGTGTTTTGTGTTTGCTTTGTAAGTTTGTAGTGTTTTCTTTTTGCTAATGAGTTTTCATGGCGTAGTAATAGTGTGTCTGACGTGTCAGCGCAAAGTTCAACCACACGCCTTCAATGATTTTTTATTTTAGGTGTACAATTTTTTCCCCGTGCCGCAAGCGCGTCTTCTGCTTTTGAAGGAAAAAACGGTATTCAGCACAGGGGGAAAGATTAGCTCTGCCCTGGCTAGACACAGTGGTTATGTTGGCTGGCGGAGGGCGCAGCAGCGAAGGGGTTAAAAAACACCAATAACAACATAAACATTTTAATAATAGTATTTATATTAATTTACATTAATAAAACTGTCAAAAATCTTCCCTCTGGTCTCTCTTTGCCTCTCTTCCCCTCCAACTGTCCCTATACTTCAGTTTTCCTTCTGAACACCTAAAGAATGTAGCAAGTCCTCTAATGATGCAGGTTATCAGTTTTCCAGGGGTTTTTCTTTCTATATCCTCTTCATGTCGCTGTTGACACATAAGACATTCACAAGTGATACCATTGCTGCCAGTCTGCTGCTTTTCTGCCCATGGTATCCCATGTCAGTTTACATTCCTTTATTTCCTGTTCTATTTTCCTTCTCCAGGTTTTCTTAGGTCATCCATGTCTCCGTTTCCCATCTGCAGTCCACCAGAGAGCTGTTTTTGCCAGTGTACACAAGGTATTCTGCAAACATGTCCAAGCCATCTCCATCGTCTTACTTTGATAACATTTTCCAGCGATGCACATTCTGTTTTCCTCTTCAGTTCTTCATTTGTGATCTTGATTGGCCAAAATATTCGTAGAATTCTTAAACATTTATTTTGAAAAGTCTTAAGTTTATGTGTAATTCTCACTGTCATTTTCCAACATTCACTGTTGTATAACAGTATTCCTAAAATGTTGCTCTTGTATATTCTGAGTTTTGTCTTCAAACTAAATCCCTTTGACTTCCATATATTGTTAAGCATGGCAAATGCTTAATTTGCTTTGTATATTCTTGATGTTACATTCTTTTCAGAATCTCCATCTGGTGTAACTTTCCTTCCGAGGTATAAAAATTCTTCAACTTCCTCTATTGCTTCATCATTTAAGATAATTGGATTTTCTGTTTTGTAATTATTTTTCATTACTTTACATTTACTGGTGTTTATTTTGAGTCCTATTTTAACCCTACCAGACAGCTGGCCCGATTTTCCTGAAATTTTCTAACCTGGCGCTATACCGCTGGCCCCATTTTTCGGGAATTTGTGTAGTACGTGAAAAATAACCAGCCAATCGCCATCAGACTTCATGGTTAGTCATTGCGACTGACTTCCCAAGTGTGTTGAATTTCTTTGTGTAGTTTGATGTGAAAAAATTCTCAATGAAACGAGCGGCTTCGACAAGAAAGTGACGTAGGTTTTAGCTTTTCACAGTCCAACAGGTTATTGATACTTTGGTTAATTCAGACTGTGAATATGTTCATGAAGAATGCGTTCCCAGTTGAAGTGACACAGTCAGTGAGAGCTAGAATGAGGAGGAGAATTATGAAAATTATAGATTTAAAACCAGATCGATAGTAAGAGAAGGGGGCGTGTCCCTCAAACAGCAACATCTGGTGCTTACTTTGTGAAACAAGACTGATCCTACTAGGTGGATTGGCACACAAAGGTGGAAGATTGGCGCTAGATGAAAGGTAAACCTATTTTCTACAATGTCTCCAAGATTTATATTATTCTAAACACTTGTTTGCATGTAACTAATATTTTTGTACATCATGTTGGTTTTTTTCGTGTTAATGCCCAGGAGCTCAGGTTATAGGGACAGTTAGGTTCAGGTTCTCAGGTCTGGTAGGGTTAAGGGCTGTTGTTGAAATATTTTTTCCTGAGCGTCCACATGACGGCTTGATATAAGGCTGATGTTATATGCATAGTCAAATCCTCTAAAACAGAGGTGAGTGACCACCTGATGCCTCTTTCTCTATCTCGTGTAACTTCCTTCATCAGCCAGTCAATGGCCAAATTGAGCAAAAAGGGGGACAGTATGCATCCCTGTCTGATTCCTGTGTTGACAAAGAAACTTTCTGTTGTATGATTATCACAAACTACCTTGCAATGAAACTAAGTAAAAGGCTTTGATCAAATTTACTATTTTCTGTGGTACACCATAGTGACGCAAAATCTTCCATAATGATTCCCTATACAGGCTTTTCAAAGGCTTTTTCAAAATCCACAAAGGTCACATAAAGGTTCTCCAGACATCTCAACACATCACAATGTGTTGTTTTCTGTCCATGGTGTTCTTATCATTCATGTATAAATACATATTTATAGCTTCCGTATAATTTTCACTAAATGGCTGACTGTTCATGATTAAGTTCTAAACATCAGGTATGGCTCTACTCTTGTTAAGAACTCTATCTTACCTCAACTGGCAAAGACAGACTGCATACTCTTTATTTTATGAAATGCTTACACTTGAGCTATGATACATTTAATATATTTGAAACATCTGCTGTTATCAGGGTACTTCCGCACTGAAACATAAAGGAGCTGCTTTACACTTATACCATTTGCATTTTGGAGAGCACTTTCTTCTTTGTGAACACCATTACTTTTGTTTTTCCACTATTCTAGCTGAGACCTTTGCTCTGACTTTAGGTTACAGTTATGTCCATCATATCTTGTAGCTGCATTTAATTTTCAGCTATTAAAACTAGACAATCAGTATATTTTAGGTTGTTTTTATTATGTTCACAAACATATTCCTAGCATATCTTGTATAGATCTCAGTACTGTTTTGCTATATAAACTGAACAGACAGGGAATGCAGAACTGCTGACAAGTGTTGGCACACCAGGACAGGGCTCATACTGGTCAAGACCTGCCTACACCTCTCTGAGGTCATCCTACAACCGGGAGAGCATGGTCAATGTAGGTAGGAACAATGTTTCCTTAAAATCAGAGTGCATCTGCCTGCAAGGCAAGGAACCAACAATCTGCACACAAATATGCCAGATCATGTAAAATGGATGTGCAAGCAACACTCAAGTCCTGATGCAAGACTAAAGATCAAAAGTAGATGAACAACCAGGTTTTTCACCAGTTTACAACTGGTGAACACAAAGAAACAGAATATATCAAATCAGACAACACAACTCAAACAACTTGTTAAATGTGTTAAAAAGTTCTCATTTTATTGTCAATTCTTATGGAATTGCCAGTATATATTGTTTTTATTATTCTTAGGTTTTTGTCATCAGTGTTTGTTTCCAATATTCTACTAATTTAATCTATGTCTCATATTTTTTTTTCTCTCAATGATTTAAGCAGTAAGCAGATCTTGGGATCATAATAGATCCATGTTCATTTCAGTCATACTTCTTGTTGATATTCTCAAGATAAATATTATGATTCAGGCTTTTACTTTCAACAAAACCCCAGAGTTAATCCCAAATTTATGGTATAACTTTCTATATTATTATTTTCATTACAATTTTCATCAATATTTTAGACACATGACTAGTTAAATTGTGTGCTGATCCCAACAATCTACTGATATCAGGTTTCTCGGTAGATGTACACAAATACAAAATAAATTACCAGAGGTCATTATGTACCTTTAAAGGCAGTATATGGGGGGGGGGGGGGGGGGGGGGGGGGGGGTGTGTGTCTTGAGTACAGATACAACCTAAAGTTTTACCACAGTAAATACCTACAGAGACATAAAGACAGTGCTAAGGGAGCAATAATTAGGTAAAGGAGGTAATAAAATGCATCAACAGTGACCTTGACTGCAAGACAAGACCGGGATACTAGAGCAGAACATGAACCCAGAGGAGCGTAATGGAAATACAGTGGCAGCAGCTGGACAACTACTACAAAGAGTATCAATTTGAGTCCAAGGTTAACCCAGCCTAAAATGGGTAGCTAGAAATGCCCTAGGAAATCAAGGCTGCTGGCAAGATGCTGACAACATCTCCCACTGATTAGCCTTTACAAATATGCCTCAAGAATGATGTGCCTTGTGGAATAATTGCATGAAAAGGTTCATTTTCTTTTCAATTTTTCACCAAATGATATACTTCTCTTGCTGATTTCTTTTTGCATGCAAAAACATTTAAATTAAAAAAAAAAACACACACACACACTAAATCAACTGATAATCAAACCTTATGTGTGGAATCCCAACACCTCCAGAAAGTAGTTTGTAAAGCTTGCTCTCATATAAAAGTTGTGGATGCCTGGCTTTGACAGATTCAAGTTTCACTGCTACTTCCTGAGGTCAAGGTATGATTGAAAGGTTTAATAAATGTAACATCATAGCTATGCTATCATGACAGAACAAACCACACACCAAATATTTAGTAATTTAATTCTCAAATTTAAGCTGACTTGTTTTCTTTTTTCAAAATACCAAATTGTCACAAAGCTTTCAGTAAAAACTTCTTGTTTTTATCTTATAGTCCGAGGCGGGGAACGAGAACTGCAAACAAATAAGCCAGTAAAACGGATGTACGCGCAAAACTCAGGTCAAGGTAAAAGCCAGAAGTCCAGTTGGACTAACAACCTGGACTTACCGCCGAAATTCCCAGCCGGTGAACAAGAAGAAGAAAAAGAATCTTATAGTCCACACTATGTAGCAATGGTAATATTTGTCGACAGCCTCTTTTCAATCATTTCTGACACAAACATTCATTAATAACATAATGCTAAACTGTTTATCATTCATTTTCTTGGCTCCCCCGCCCCCTTCTCATAATGTACCTATAATCTAATTTAAAAATGGAGGCACAGGCAATCACAGCAGCTTTTTACTAGGATGGGAATCAGCCGCACACACGTCATCATTGTAAGACTCTCAAAGCATGCTGAAAAGCAGCTTTTGTGCAGAGCAGCAAGCATCACTTCAGAGGCATCTGAGATGGTGTGGCCACCTAATAAGACTACTCTGGTACCAACTGCTACAGAGAGCCATGCTGAAGAAGTATAATTAACAAACAGGAAGACCGTGCAAAAGGGCATCAAGATCAGCCTTAAAGAAATGAAGATCAACTTATAAATTGCATTATAAAGATTAAACAGATCCTTACATCGCCCCCACAAAACTTTGATGAAGTAACGGAAGGAAGAGAAGTAAAAAAAAAAAGTTGGAAGGATTTTTTTTCTTTTTCTGGTGCTTCAGCTAATGTAACTTTGGGCTTATACATCTGATGAAACTGAGAAAAATATACAAGGAAATAAAGTCTACCAGATATAATTATTGTGTCTCAGTGTCTGGGCACTCTTCCGAATACCGGCCCCATATTATTCAAAGACAAAAAATCCCATTCAGGGCCTCAAGAGGTCGTTGTTAGGGACTTGAGAGGTCATGTAGTTAAAAATATGGAACAGGAACACTACAAACTATGCTTTCTTTTATTATATAATTTCGTTTGAACGAAATTACCGAGTCTTCCCTAGTATAGTTGATAAGCAGTCTGCTTGTTACGCGGGTGATCAGGGTTCGATTCTCCGGATGTCAATTTTACATTTTTCTTTTTTTTCTTTAAAAGGGTGGTTTTGCGCCTTTACTCGGTCTTGTGGTTAACAGCTAGGTTGCGATAGCGGCGGCAAATTTTTTTTTAACTTTTAAAAGGGTGGTTTAGACGTTGTTTTGTAGTTACAACTAGGCTACGATATCTGCTTCGCTACAGCTACGATATCTGCTTCGCTAGTACAGTTGATAAGCAGCGATATTTGCGCCCTTTGCTCGGTCTTGTGGTTAACAGCTAGGCTGCGATTGCGCCCTTCGCTCGGTCTTGTGGTTAACAGCTAGGCTGCGATTGCGCCTTTCGCTCGGTCTTGTAGTTAACAGCTAGGCTGCGATAGCGCGCCTTTACTCGGTCTTGTGGTTAACAGCTAGGTTGCGATAGCGGCGGCAAATTTTTTTTTTAACTTCTAAAAGGGTGGCTTTAGAAGTGGTTTTGTAGTTACAACTAGGCTACAAATATCTGCTTCGCTACAGCTACGATATCTGCCTTGCTAGTACAGTTGATAAGNACTACAAAGAGTATCAATTTGAGTCCAAGGTTAACCCAGCCTAAAATGGGTAGCTAGAAATGACCTAGGAAATCAAGGCTGCTGGCAAGATGCTGACAACATCACCCACTGATTAGCCTTTACAAATATGCCTTAAGAATGATGTGCCTTGTGGAATAATTGCATGAAAAGGCTCATTTTCTTTTCAATTTTACATCAAATGATATACTTCTCTTGCTGATTTATTTTTGCACGCAAAAACAAAATTTAAATTTAAAAAAAAAAAAACACACACACACTAAATCAACTGATGATCAAACCTTATGTGTGGAATCCCAACACCTCCAGAAAGTAGTTTGTAAAGCTTGCTCTCATATAAAAGTTGTGGATGCCTGGCTTTGACAGATTCAAGTTTCACTGCTACTTCCTGAGGTCAAGGTATGATTGAAAGGTTTAATCAATGTAACATCATAGCTAGGCTATCACGACAGAACAAACCACACACCAAATATTTAGTAATTTAATTCTCAAATCTAAGCTGACTTGTTTTCTTTTTTCAAAATACCAAATTGTCACAAAGCTTTCAATAAAAACTTCTTGTTATTATCTTATAGTCCGAGGCGGGGAACGAAAACTGCAAACAAATAAGCCAGTAAAACGGATGTACGCGCAAAACTGAGGTCAAGGTAAAAACCAGAAGTCCAGTTGGACTAACAACCTGGACTCACCGCCGAAATTCCCAGCCGGTGAACAAGAAAAAGAAAAAGAATCTTATAGTCCACACTATGTAGCAATGGTAATATTTGTCGACAGCCTCTTTTCGATCATTTCTGACACAAACATTCATTAATAACATGATGCTAAACTGTTTATCATTCATTTTCTTGGCTTCCCCGCCCCCTTCTCATAATGTACCTATAATCTAATTTAAAAATGGAGGCACAGGCAATCACAGCAGCTTTTTACTAGGATGGGAATCAGCCGCACACACGTCATCATTGTAAGACTCTCAAAGCATGCTGAAAAGCAGCTTTTGTGCAGAGCAGCAAGCATCACTTCAGAGGCATCTGAGATGGTTTGGCCACCTAATAAGACTACTCTGGTACCAACTGCTACAGAGAGCCATGCTGAAGAAGTATAATTAACAAACAGGAAGACCGTGCAAAAGGGCATCAAGATCAGTCTTAAAGAAATGAAGATCAACTTATAAATTGCATTATAAAGATTAAACAGATCCTTACATCTCCCCCACAAAACTTTGATGAAGTAACGGAAGGAAGAGAAGTAAAAGAAAAAGTTAGAAGGATTTTTTTTCTTTTTCTGGTGCTTCAGCTAATGTAACTTTGGGCTTATACATCTGATGAAATTGAGAAAAATATACAAGGAAATAAAGTCTACCAGACATAATTATTGTGTCTTAGTGTCTGTAATCTATCAATATATACAATTAACTATTCATCAGTAATGTTTATGACAATCTGCATGTTACCTATAAACACTACTTAACTCTCCAATTTTGGTAAATATGCACTCTATTACTACATTACTACAGAGTTACCATACTACTTAACAATACTACACAGTGGACAGTCACAGTCTATGCCACTAACTCCCATGTCCCATCCAGCTGTGGTGTATTAATATTATTCAAAGTAACTAAACTAAACACATCAAACTTGAAATCAAGTACCACCTTTCTACTAATAAGAGCTTATTGCTTATCCTACCTAATAATTAAGTAATGTGTTAGGGTATAAATTAAGGTAGCACACTACTTATTTATTTATATAATTTATAAACTTCTTTCAAATCTAAGTCTTTCCTGGAGAAACGAATAACCATAACAGAATCAGAATGGAGAATGAAAATCTTATTTTATTTATTTTCATTTTTATTCAAGCCGTTTCCGAATACAGGTGTTAAGTAACTATTCCTTTAGTCTACAAATGAAAATACAAAGCAAAATATTATTATCTTACCTCGCCATTTGAGATATTAATTGCCAAATATATGTCCCCGAAAGATCCACTGCCGATCTTTCGTACCAGACGATACTTCCCTGCAACATTGAAATCTCCTTTCGATGATGATGATGATGTCGACATTATTCTTGGAGAATCAAACAACAAGCCCCGTTAAATTATAATACAAGCACCGTGGACAAGTCTGTCCATGTCACTGTAAGAATAGATATTGTTCTTGAAACCAACAACGGTTTCTCGGTGTGCGTCGTGACGTGAAGGAACCGTTCTTGTTTGATTCAACCCGACGAGAGAAAAACACAAAACACGTAATGGATTTCGGGATTGTTACGACATCAACGGCAAAGAAAAGCGGTTAGGATTACAGGATGTCGCTGCGTTTATTTTAAGAAGCACACATCACTTAAATTTTGCGGTATACGTCTATAATAATGGCAAAAGTGCCAGTTTAATATAAATTATAAATGCCACCTCGATTGTTTCAAATAAAAATATAATAATTTTATTTTAATCACCCAGCTGTTCCATCAACCGACTATCACGTCCAATAATTTACCAGTCACGAAGTTGCTTTGGGTATGCGTGTGTGTGTGTGTATGTATGTATGCATGTATGTATGTTTGTTTGTATGTGTGTGGGTATGCGTGAGTGTGTGTGTGTGTAAACACACAGAGACACACACACACACACACACAAATATATATATATATATATATATATATATATATATATATATATATATATATATATATATATATAGTTTTTTTTCCCTCTATAGGATTAACACCTGAAACTCTGTTAAACCCTATAGCATGTTTATATTGGGGTACACCATAATTAGAAGCATAGTTAGTCCAATAGCGGTGGGTTTGGTAGATAGTTTGAAAACATAGGTATGATGTCCTTAGTACGCGTTTGCTGGGACGCATCCTGGATTACTCAGGTGTTCTCTCTTTACTCCATAGGCGCCATCTTCTGTTATAATTTTTGTTCGCCAACTTTATTTTTAAACGATAATCTTGTCGCTGAGGCCAGTGAATTAGAAATGGGAGTGCATGCCGCCCCGTGTGTAATCACTGGGGGGGAAAAAGGGGGGGGGGGCAACATAGAAACTACACAAACATACGATCGCACACACACATACACACACAATGTGATAGGAAGGATTATATAAATTGTTCCGCACCGGGTACCACCAGACTTTGCTGCCCCCTTTAACCATGTGTAGAAACTATCTTTAAAAGCATTGCCACAGTATTTGTTCATAATTCTAATCTAATTTTTTTTACCCAAGTATATAATTATATTTATTCGCCAAAATGGACATTTATTATTATTAATAATTATTAATTGTTTTCATTTTTTTAAATTATTATTATGTTATTACTACTACTACTACTACTACTACTACTACTACTACTACTACTACTACTACTACTACTACTACTACTACTACTACTACTACTACTACTACCCGTGTGTAGCGATTTTTTTGTAGATAATAAAACTTTCCGTCCTTTTTAGGACGAAATTTTTCGTTTTTTGAAGCCCTACTCTGGCTCTTGCCAGGGGCCGCAATATAGCCTGGCCATAAATATGGCATAAAGGCTGAACGCGGTTTCTGGGACCTTTCCACTATGATCCTCACCCACATGGTGGCACTCTGTGTCATCGGGTGTTTACCGCTTGTATAATGTCCTGGTGGGGTAGAAAGTCAGTCAGTCAGTATTACTACTACTATGCTCTTAACAGCCCTACTCTGAAAATACAAATGGAAGGTGTAGTGGGTCAGGTGCTTAGAAAAGGTTGGGGGCCGCGGAGAAGTTGTTAGGAAGCTCTCATAAAGTTTAGGGATCCTCCCAAACATTTGAACCTTCCTAAGTGGTCCCGTGTGGCTCTGTAACCATATGTAGATGCTTTTTTTTTTTTTTCAAATTCAAATATATTAATAAACTTGTTGTTATTATTAGTTTCCTTCTTAGCGTTCACCGGCTGTAAACTCCATCTGGAAGTTTTCATTGTTTGTCCACCTCTGGAATTAAGTCTTGATTCACAAGCTGAGTTTACATCTGTTTTTTACAGTACTAGCTTATTTGAATGCGGACTGTTGGTTCCATGTCTCTCAAGCAGATGCACTCTGACTTTGAAGGAAGCTCCCAATTAGTCGGTTTTTATGAGATGCTTGTTTGAGAGGCAGTGGGTTTATTCTATTCTTCCCCTACAATGGAACCCCATTGTGTTGGGGTTGTTATCAACAACATAATAACAACAACTGCAAACTTGAATACAAGCCTTTAGACACCATCACTCTCTAGGCAAAAGACGACTGACTGCCCCTCCCCTCTTTTCCCCAATGATTTCTTCGTGTCGGCACGCCTGCCGAAAACAAAAGTTTAAATGACCTACTAAAACTTATGTTTGCTGTTTATTTATCATTTGTCACATAAATTCGGCGCCATATAATACGTCGACTATCGCCAGTAGATGGCGGGGTGTACTGGTGTTTGATGATCCTTGTACCACACTGGTTTGAACACTTAACTCTAACGTCAAATGGGTATCATAGGCACCGGAACCTGGAAGCTTATATCAAATGTGCCCCCTTTTCCCCATATTTGCCCCTCTTCCCCCTTTCCTCAATAATTAGGTCTCCTGACATGTCCACACACACACACGAACACAAAATGTCTACGCCTAATTCTCCTAATCAGCAGCAGAATATTTGACGTCGTTTGACTACACAAGCAACGCGAACCTATCGTGTGTATTGTCTCCTAACCAAATATGTGTATACTAATCACGCTAGCGGTATATGGTGGTTTGGTGCTTTATGTTTGTTTAATTATGGTGCACACTGAAGTATTGTCCGTAGTCCTCTTTCTACAACTTGACTGACATCTGGTCTAAAATAAACTGATGTAAATAATTGTGGGTTGCGCCAAACACCACCTACCGTTGTCTACTAAAACAATACATTTATTCGCCATTTATAGGCTCAGGTGTTGAATATATGCACTGGTGGCGCTGTGGTAGGTGCCGAGACACGATAAACGTTAGAGTTCGATCCTCCAAATCCCCGTGTGGGTTTCAGGGCCCTATTATAGAGAAAACAAAAATAGACCCACTGCCTACCCAAAAGCATGTCGTAAAAGTCGACTAATTGGGAGCTTACTTCGAAGTCGGAGTGCATCTGCCTGAGAGGCAAGGAACCGGCAGTCTGTATACACAATAGTCAGATCTGGAAACGGATGCACACGCAACACTAAGGTTCTGGAACAGGACTGAAGTCCAGAAGTGGACGAACAACCAGAACTTTCCGCCGGAGTTTACAGTTCGTGAACGCGAAGAAGAAGAAAAAGAGATCCTCCAAAGAATGACATTTTTCGAAAACCACCAGTACGCCCCAGATGCGGGCCTTGTGTATTGCGTTGGTTTCGACAGTGGTATCGAGAAGCAATGGCAAACTACTGGACGTAAATTTGTCTAGAATAATCACAACAGTCGAAAAATGCTGGAGTTGGTTCTGCAACGTCTTGTAAAAAATACGCAACTCACTTTTTTTTTTTTAAACCATAAATAAACAGAAGGGAGACATTTGAGGCCGTTAAATATTATGAATTAATCAAGTAACAGAAAATGTATTGATCGGCACTCATAGAAAGAAGTAAATAGATATAAGAACACACTAGACAATATAAAAATTGAAAGCTATAGTTACCGTGCCAGGATTTGAACCTGTCACCTCCAGACGGCGTCTGCGCCTCGCCATGAATGCAAGTGCACTAAGAACATGGGCAACTAGGCACCCCCAAATAAAGCAAATAAAGGTGTCTTATTGGCCATGTCTGTCGTTCAACTTGAAATCCACAACTATGGAATAAGGACAGGATTAAAATAAACAGAGGGGGAACCTTTGATGCCGTTAAATTTTATGAATCAAGTCACAGAAAGTGTATTGATCGGCACTCATAGAAAGAAGTAGACAGATAGAAGAACACACTAGACAACATACAAATCGAAAGCTATAGTTTTTTTAAAACCAGTACGTCTCTGAGGTGACCTAACTTTACACCACATATAGGGGCGCCACAACATGCCGGTTCATGAGCTTCGAACCACCCCCCCCCCCTCTTTTCCACGGGGATAAGCGACCCCCAAACCATATACTATATTATTATTATTATTATTTTGTACCCAGAAACAATGAGTTGTAAACCCATTGGTTCGGTACTGTGGATAACGCAAACCTTTGGCCTTGGTTCCATAAAAGATTAAGTAAATCTGGGAAATATGTGACTTTCATGACTACCCCAGAGAGTGAACTCGGACCACAATGACTGTATTACCCTGTATCGCTCAGCTGGTTTAACCAACTTAGCTAGTGCGCTGGACAATGTACTATATAGAAGTTATGTTTTTAAGTATTTGTGTATGCCTTTTTTATTATTTCATCTGTATGATACATATATCATCGTCATCCTCATCACCATAATCCGTTTTGTGCAGTTAGACGTCACATTGGGCTTGCATTCAAATTCTTCATTGCATGTAACTTTCTAGATCTCTGACATGGAATTCAGCCCATCATTTTTTTTTTTTGCCCCTCGTAAAAATGTTCTTCTTAATGTTTACGTTAGACGTCCTCTTTTTTTCCTCAGATCGTCTTTCCCATTTCATTGCCTGTTTTGCGATTCTTTGCTCATTTTGTCTCAGAGTGTGTCCAATATATCTCCACCTTCTTTGCTTTATTGTCTAAATGTCCAGACATTTCTCTGATATCCTCTTTTTTAAAATTCATCCCATTTCATGTTCATGATTTTTCTCAGACTCTATGAACAAGCTTCAGAAGATAGCAACAGACGCTATGCACTCTGAATGAGTAGAAAGCCTTCAAAAATCGCACTTAACCTCTTTCTCTCACCTGGTCATGCTGGCGTAAAGGCAAATGAGCGAGCGGACCAACTGGCAAGCAGTGCACCAGGGAAGAAGCATGGAGGGTGCAAATATTATCAATACTGTACAGACTGGGCTAGTGGATAACGACGAATCTCTGACATAATAAGATTATGTGACATGGAAGTAAAGCATGGTGAAGTATGTCTATGCCGCCTTCGAGGCCACGA